TTCGAACTCGGGCTTTATTTTATACATTTGATCCTGGTTATTCCCATAAAAAACAAGCAATTCGGGTATGTATATTTTGCAACTGGCTCTGTGAGTTTAGAAACAACAACCTATTATCAAACTCGCGGGAAGTATAGTTTACACTAAACATCATTTCCTTTTTTCATTAGAATTTATGGTCATGAGCAAAGTACAAGATAACGTTTATGCAAATTGCCAGTTTCTACCATTCACATTTGGCATTACGCTGTCCACATCAAATTTTCAAAGCCATACACATTACAATCTAAACATTTTTTTTAGTTTACTAATACTGAATGTTTAATAAATGTAGCACCATGCCAATATCTAAGCCAGAGGCGAATATGGTTTATAGTCTCATGGACACACCACGTGCTTATAAAGATGATGTTCATAACTTGAGGGCAATTTTGAAGTTCAAACAGGGAAACTTTGTCTTTCATCGTATAACAAGCTATTTTCAAGCTGCGACTGACATGGGATGGAGGAAAACAGCAGTCAGCTAGCACTGTTGGTGGCACAATGAACATACGTAATATATTTCTGAGATTCAGTAACGACAAACAGTAGGAGACTGCATCCAGCATAAAATAATGACACATGACATTAATAGTAGCTTTATTGTCGCTGCATGGTGGTTGTAAGATTTATTTCACTGGGAATGTCACTAGAGTATGAGAGTTCGCGACGAAATAAGTAAATGGTATGGAAAGTAACAAAACGGATTAATAATGTACGTCAATATTCAATAGCGATTATACGAATGCGGGATTTACTGAAACTAAAGTGTGCATGATCAATTATTTAATCACTCATATTACGTAATAGTTTAGTGATTACACATCTACACATTATGCTCTTAATCAGTCAGTACATTTACAGATTTTCAAACAAACTAAAAACGCGTTTTGTAAGCAAAATAATAAGAGGACGAAAAGGTGAAGAAGTACGAAACAATTACACACAATCTTTACAAATTGTTATTTTCTGTGAAACACTATCATCAGACTGTCAGACAGTGTGTCTCTTAGCTTAGCATGATTTAGTTTTACCTATGCGGCAGAGACGTACATTTCTCCAGTATTTTAACCCAAGGGGTAGAAATTTAATTGCTATAAATGAAGGGAATGTATCAATCTATTCGGAAGCATCTAAAACACCCGCTGTCTCAAAAACAACGTACTTTTAATCGGAAAAACAATGTCGGGTATATGCTGTATGCTCATACAGCCATACTGACACGTGACCACATGAGTGTTACGTATATTATGCTCGCTGAGAAGACTATAAATACAACTGTCAGTCACGTAGAAATAAGACGGACAACATACCCATCTGAACGCCTGACAGTCTTCCACGGTAAGCCTGAATAGTTGTTCTTATGTACTATATTTCAATAATTAACCACACACAGTGTACACTACAGTAGATTCGGTTTAGCATAGGATATCTAGTCAAACATTTTCCAAAATCATCTTTAAACTTTAAGCAAATGACTATTGCCTCGTTTTCATTCACCATGCAGACACACATATACTCGTATCCTCACATGATCAAGCTCACTAACACACAAACAAACAAACAAACAAACAAACAAACACAAATAAACTATGCACATCATAACAAATACATTTTCACTCGTGTGAACGTTATACAATTGGTCTGTTAGAACGGAAGACACTATACTTTACCAGATTTCATTCTAGCCGCTTCAGTATGTCGGACTCGGCAATACACGTGTATCCCATCAAATTTATCAATGTTTTTAAATTTAATTTTCTTGCACATCTTGCAAATATGAGAATAAAGTAAAGATGAATAGAAATTATAAATTATGTTTGCAGTTCTCTATGTCCATCAGTTGTTGCAAAAATTGATAATAACCAATCGAGGCAAAAGTAATAAATTTTTTGGGCTTGCACCACTCCAGTTATATAATTACATACATGTATACACGTATGTACATGTCACCCAAGTGTATATTATTAATATATATTAATTATTATATTAATAATACAATTTAAGTTACGTATATGTGATCTATATATAGTGCAATTCGTCCGTTTAAGTATGCATGTACGGTATATTCAAAATATGATTCAAAATAATTGTGACATGCTTCACGCCGCTAATAATGACCGTTTGTAGGTTGGAGCGCGAACAACCATTTTCTAACAACCTCAACGTCGCTAATTCTACGATCTGCATGTGTAGATGCTGCTTTAATGATGGGTAACAACATTGCTAAGTTCCTGGACCAGTGTTTATTTCACTATTCAATTAGGTGTGTTTATCATAGTAAACCTTTAATATTTATTTCTTCTATTACTTTATTTTGAATTAATAAACAACATTTATAGACGTGTCTCACAGTAATATGGCTTTATGTACCGGATTTTTCACAAGGGCGACTTTGTCATGAAAATCGAAAACAACCAATTTAGTACTGTACTTTAGTGTTAGACGTTACAAAGTGTAGGGACAGTGTGCGTCTCTCTACGGCTATAAATGCACAGCTTTCGAGATGAAGTCAGGTTTATTTCAGATTTAAGCCAGCCACACACTGTCTTACTCTACTTATCCTGACGCATTCCATCTGCACAAAGCTTTCATGACTGAAATTTTGCGTTTTCTATATGCCAATAATGACTCCAACATCTTTGGCAACTGAAGATATAAAAATGAAAGAGCAACCTATATCGATGACAAGAATACCTGAATGTCTGTAGAATTTAGAGCTCACACTGGCTACTTTATGTCTGCCATTGTTGAACATGAGTTTGTTTATAAAATATTGTACACGAATATCAGTGATACATTGCTCCAGTCTTGTAACAGTAACAATATGATCAGATCGTTTTAATGTGATATAAAATCTACTGACATCTGGGTAAATCGTGTGATGTATATCATAATGAACATTAATAACATCACTCAAAGGCCCAGTGTATATGATGAAATCCTGAGGGATTCTTGAAAGAATGGGTTAGAAAGCATATTTGCAATGATGGCAGCTTATTTGCGATTCTGTAGATAAGATTTTAATCACTGCAAAGAGGTTAACGTTCTGCTGATTCTACAACTATTGTGCAGTTGTTTGTACAGAATGTTATGGTGTCGAGTGCTGTACTATATTCTATTAAGATGAGTAGGTCATTAGAAACATGCAAAGACGGAAGAGTGGCGATGAGTATTTTGCTACAAGTTTGCCAAAATTTAGTGAGATGCATGTTTTATTAGAATTATGCATTCTGCATTGTTTGCATGTTCAATCGTGCTATTCTGTGTTCGATGTTTTTTTTCATGTGCCATATTGAATTTTACATTTAATTTGGGCCACCATCATTTGGCTTGAAACATAGATTGTATAGATTTATTAGGGAAATTATTGATAACCTATTTTGTTTTAATCAGAACATTAAACAAGTATGTTCATTTTTTCGTTGGGGTAAATTGTCAATTTGTATACTGATTAAATCACTCTTTGATCAGTTAGTCATTAATCTCCATGTATCTCTTGCATGTAACTAAATATTATCTTCATTTTGTAAAGCGTACCTTACTGATGTGACAAGTGTGAACATTCTTATATGTGTGGACATTAACCTGACAAATGTATACTCAATCAATTACAGTATATGTATGAATGCATTGGCTGTTGCTGAATGATATGTTTATTTATTATGATATCGTGTTGTCCAAGTGTGACACAGATATAATTATCAACTGTTCACATGAATTAGGATTTCAATTCCTTCGTATTAAGATTAATAGACGGGTGTCGATATTGAATCTAAATATCGCTGGATATTTATTTATCACTGATCAAACAAAAACGATATAAGGAATGATACGGGCGAATCAACGATTACACATAAGTTGAATGCATTAGTCATTAACTATCAGCAAGGTGTTTGCATTATCATCGCCCTTTAACGAGTTTGAAATAACACCTTATGCATAAAGAGTATTGTTATATTTGTCTCAGGCATTTATATGTTTATATATTATTGTGGACGTAAATAATAAGGCACTTTTAACCGACAATATTCATTATTATGTTGAACGAATACACCAGAAATAATATTTTCCAGAAATATATTTCATAATATGAATGATTACGCATTTTTTTCAAAAAAATATTCATTATAAGCGCATTGTTACTTGTAATTTCATAGTCAATTTGATTGTTTCATTACAAGAATCACGTTTACTAATTACGTGTCCAGCTGTACTGCATATCAAGTAATAGTCAAGTTAAAAATGGGTATATATATATATATATATATATATATATATATATATATATATATATATATATATATATATATATATATATAACAAATTGAGCAGAATTGATAATTGATTGCCAAACAGCGGGCGTAGCTATTCCCGGGTAGATAAAGATTGTATTATACATATGTACACAAGGAAGCTAACTCATCTCAAGTATGTAGATTGTGGGTAGTCACGACAGTTCAATTCACGCCACTATAGCAGATATGGAGCAATTGGACTAAAGCATTCGTTATGGTACAAATGAAATATGTAAAAATTGTATTCGAAATAATTTGTCAGCAATTCCAATTGAGATTATCCAAGTGCTGTATAGTATGTGAGAGCGCGCCTTAACTTAGTATTCGCAGAGGGTAAACAATAGGAATAAAACTGAAACAGAAATGTTCTTACCCTACTTATTGTAGATTATATTTGTATGTGCACGTTCTTGATTGGGACAACAGACATTCCCAAGCTGTCTATGTCTGCATGCTTTATATAAGTTGATCTTTCCGAAAATTGAATTGACTAACTTGATGCAATTTACTGTTTTTATTCGCCAGACATTTAACTGCATTTTCTTTAACTCTTTCAGAAACGTTTCAGAATAACATATTACTGTAGTCGCATCTCAACACTCATCCCACATGAATGAAGCGGACTTGTTCAAGACATATATCGAATCACCATAGCGTCCTAATATGTCTCTTTTCTGGGATCGATTTCAAGCAGTGGGAAACAAAACAGACTTTGCATTAACCATTGCAAATGCTACCAACTACAATAGTGCGACAATGCCACTATTTTCTAATCCTGTACCATCCTGGTTTTTTGTAACATTGATACCAATATTATCGACGTTATTTTGCGTTTTGGGTTTAATTGGTAACGGGATGGTCTTATTTGTACTTATCCGACTGCTGCCAAAGCAAAGTGTTCCTAACATCTACATAATGAATTTGGCGTCTGCGGATTTTCTGTTTTTGCTTGGAGTGCCTCTCCTCAACCACTTCAATACCACTAGACAGTGGAACTTCGGAAGTACAGTTTGCAAACTTGTAATGGGAATAGATGGAATGAATATGTTTACAGGTATTTATACTTTGACTATTATGGCTGTGGATCGTTTTGTTGCTGTGGTATATGCCGTTCCATCCAGAAACTATAGAACAGCGTCTGTAGCTCGTATCACATGTGTTGTGCTGTGGATACTGTCAGCTATCACAGCCTTGCCATTATGGATGTACGCACATGTCGAAAATAATAATAATAACACTGTTTGCGTTGTAGTAGGTCCAAAGACCATCGAATTTGCATTTTCTGTTTACTCGAATCTGTTCGGTTTCTGTTTACCTTTATTAGTAATACTTGTCTGCTATGTAAAGATTTTACAATACTTGTATCAAAGGCGTACGCAGAAGGGCAGAAGGTCTCGACTTGGACGGGTGAATGCTTTGATCCTTGTAGCAGTTATATTATTCGTGGTTTGTTGGGCACCTTTCTGGGGGATACAACTTCTATTAATGGTGTCACCCAACATCAGTCTCAGCACTGCTGTGCAAGTGACATATTACTGCACGCCTCTACTGAGTTATATAAATTCGTGTTGCAATCCAATTATATATACTTTTTTCAAACACGACTTTCGTGAAATGTTACACGTCATATGTTCGGTTAAATATTCTAAAGAATCATCTAGTACTTACAAGGCAGTTGACGTAAACGAATCGAAGGGCACACCTTTGAATTCTCTAACATCAATACGTGAATCTTAAGACGTTTCTTGAAAATAAGTTGTGTTATAGATTGTACAATATTTTGTTATTTATTTAGTATAATAATTTAGTTGTTTTATACAATAATACATATTGCACTGTTATAAGTATAGCATTAATGACTCCAACAAAATTACTTCAGAATTAATGCATGTGTACATATTATATTATATTATATTATATTATATTATATTATATTATATTATATTATATTATATTATATTATATTATATTATGCTTTTTGGTTCACGGGTAAAATAAAATAAAAGACGATCACGTAACAGTACAAAAACACCTTGGAACCCCGTAGGCAGGCCGGTGACACCGGTTCGCACTTAAGGGGGTACCAACCCCCCCCTGCCAAATTCC